TTTCACCATGTTGGCCAGGATGGTCTCGATCTCTTGACCTCATGATCCACCCACCTTGGCCTCCCAAAGTGCTGGGATTACAGGCGTGAGCCACCACGCCTGGCCCTCTACATTCTTTTTCACTGGTCTATGTGTCTGTTTCTACACCAGTACCATGCTGTTTTAATTATTATAGCTTTGTAGTAGATTTTGAGATCAGGTAATATGATGTCTTCAGCTTTGTTCTTCTTGTTCAGATTGCTTTTGCTATTTAAGGTCTTTTGTGGTTGCATAAGAAGTGGCAAGAATGGGTATTTCTGTCTTGTTCCTGATCTTAGGAGCAAAAGCTTTGAAATTCCCACCCTTGAGTATGATTTATCTGTGGGCTTGAAATTCAAAAGCTTTGAGATTTCAAAAGCTTTGCAATTCCCACCCTCGAGTATGATTTAGCTGTGGGCTTGTCATATGTGACCTTTCTTGTATTGCAGTATAGTCTTTTTATTCTTTTCTTTTTTTAGACAAACAGCTTTGTTGGTCTAAAGGCCCACATTCAGCCCACGGCTGAATCCCCCCACATTGGTCTCAGGCCTGGGAGGACCAGTGCCCTGTGGAGAGAAGACAGGTCAGGGGTGAGGGCCAGGGGCCAACCATGAGGGGCCAGACCACGTGAGCAATGGCATCTGGGCAGAGGCCATGAGCCTGTAGAGGCCTGGGTTTCACCGCTGCATGTGGGGTAGCGCGAGGTGAGCTGAGGTCCCTAGAGGCTCTGGGCGCCAAGTCTCACCCACGGCCACGGCCAAAGGCAAGGGTGGGGATAGATTTTCAACCCACCCTGGGTGGCCCATGCATATGAGGCAGGACCTACCTGGGTGGAGAGGAAGTACAATCTTTCTATACCTAATTTGTCGAGAGTTTTTTATCAGGAAAGGACATTGAATTTTGTCAAATGCTTTTTCGGCATCTCTTAAGATAACCATAGTTTTTTTGTCTTTCATTCTGTTAATGTGGTATATCACATTTACTGACATGCCTATGTTGAACCATCCTTACATCCTAGGGGTAAATCCCACATGATCATGGTGAATGATTCTTTTAATGTGCTATTGAATTTGATTTACTAGTATTTTTGTTGACAATTTTCACATCCATGTTTATCATGGATATTGGGCTTTAATTTTCTTGTAGGATCCTTTTCTGGCTTTGGTATCAAGGTAATACTGGCCTTGTAAAATGAGTGTGAAGTATTCCCTCCTCTTTAATTTTTTGAAAGAATTTGAGGAGAGCTGGTACTAGTTTTTCTTTAAATGTCTGGTAAAATTTAGCAGTGAAGCCATCAGATCTTGGGCTTTTCTTTCATGGAAGACTTTTTATTACTGATTCAATATCCTCACTCCTCACTGGTATGTTCAGATTTATTTCTCTTTATTTCTCCTTGACTCAACCTTGGTAGGTTGTATTTTTCTAGGAATTTATCCATTTCTTGCAGGTCATCCAATTTGCTGGTGTTTGTTTTTAGCAGTGTCTTATGATCCTTTGTATTTCTGTGGTATCTGGTTGTAATATCTTATGTAGGCCTTTCTTTAATGGCAACAAAGAGCACTATAGACTGGTATGAGATATAATATGTGTAGATACATACATCAGAGTTTGAAAGAAATATCCACCCTAAGTTGGCTTTCTAAAAATTGCCAACTGCAACATGTTTAAAAACATACTGATAAAGGCTTGGGACTTCTTATAGTGCTTTGACCAACCTAAATTACTCTGCTTAGCTCCCTCTTGAACAAGTACTTCCTCCAGAGGCCATAGACCAAGGTGGGTCTGCCACTTTGCACAAACTGAGAGATTCAGGGTACTACACTGATTGATCACGATAAAGAAAGAATCAGATCCCAATTAACCAACCTTTTAACCTCTCTTTTCTCCCCACCAAAGGCAGCCACTGTTCGCATTGATGAAATGACTTCATCAGCCATCATCCCTGCTTTGGCATAGGCCTTCAACTCATAGTCTGTAAACTTGGACACACTCTAAAAATCAAAAAGAAGAAAAGAAAATGTGAAGTCCAAGAAAATAGGTAAGTTAGCCTGTCATTCAGATTCATTTAACATGAGGCATGGTTTAATACAAGAGTAGATTCTCACTGTAACATCGACAGGAGGAAGAAATCTGGTCCAAATTTGGATTATGATAAGCTTCATCCAGGGTGTTTGGTGGTTGATATATCGAAATGACCCTACTAAAAGTCAGACTCAAGAATAAGTTCCTCACAGAATAAGTTCCAAAGAGGATATTCTGTGAGACTAAAGTGTTTCAGTCATTGTACTAAAAAGTGTTAAGTTAGACTATGTCATAGTTCATTGCTATTAGCCAATGGCCATTGCATAATTTATAGACAAATACCAGAGACCCATGCAGATATCATGATTGGGTATAATATATGGCATATAGCATATAGAGTATAGGCATGATATTGAGAGATGATTCCAGAAAAGAAAGTTCCATGTAAATATTACCCCATTTTCACTCAGTTGGAAATACTCAACTATGTAGTTTTGATTTTTACAAAAGGAAATGAAAAGACATCTGTATTAATAGTAGACACATTAGACTTGGATTGAGTCCTAGTCAAAATGAACCCTCAAAGAAACCCCTGGCAAAGATTAATAAACAACAAGAAGAAAAAACACATATTGTGGAAGATCAACTAGCTCAGAAATATTAAAAAAAAAATATAATACCCAGATTAAGGGAGTTTATCTTCCAGTAGTTTTTCCAAATTTTTAGAAGCACAACTCTTAAAAAACAAAATCTTAGATGAAATTCTAAGACATAAGTATTCATAGTCATTTTAAAAAATAATATATTTCATCAGTCCACATTTTATAAAACATGTGAATTAAAAATGTAACAGTAAGGAAAATGAGACTTGGTTTTTTTGCAGGGGGCGGGGGTGGGGATCAGATTCTTGTTTTATTGCCCAGGCTAGAGTGCAGCGACATGATCCTAGCTGACTGCAACCTCAAATTCCTAGACGCAAGCATTTCACTGGCCTCAGCCTCCTGAGTATCTGACACTACAGGCACATACCACCAGGTCTGGCTATTTAAAGAAATTTTTTTTTTTTTTTTTGTAGAGATGGGGCCTTACTGTGTTGTCAAGACTAAGGCTGTTTTTGTTAACATTAAAATTTACATTTAGCCTAGTGAAGTTGCTTGTATAGTTTACTGTATAGTTGCTTGTAGAAGTTTGTTGTATAGGAACAAACATACACAGACTTGAAAGCAAGACAAGACATGTGCAGACCTACAACATTCCAAATCAGTGACACATTTACAAGAAGCTGGAAATGCATACTGAGGTAACTAGAGAAATTAAGCATTAGTTCTGTTTAAAACCAAGTGAACTAGGCTATGTTTTTAATCTCTAACATGTTAAAATGTGGCCTATGATCTATGTGAGTGTGGATATTACTTTATTACAGGTTTGAAGAAAGAGATTAAGTGTATTAGAAAAAAAAATGAACAAAATGTTTTCAAAACCCCTGAAGGTCTTCTGTGGAAGTTGAGGATTCCCTGGAGTATAGCTGGAAAGCGGGTAGTAGGAAAGACTGTCGTAAAGCTTGAATGATATAGTGGGTTTTAAAACATACATCTCTCTTTAACGATTGATTCTGTGCCAGACACTGCTTAAGTATATAATGTGGATTATTCCCTAAATCATCATAATGTTTTTGGGAGGTATTATCCCTATTTTAAAGATGAGGAAACTGAGGTTTTCATGGGTTAAATGTATTTTTCCTGAGTCACATAACCTGTTTGTGGTAGAGCCAAGCAAGTGAAATGGAGTGAGCTCTTTGCTATTGCCATTTTATACCATTTTCTCTATTATTTGGGAAGTGTTTGAGTAATGTAGTCAGTGGACTGTGAGAATATTTTGCTATTGAGCAATAGGAAATTGGTACCTATTGCTCAATGATGTGTGAGTATGTATGCAGTTTTTCAGTTAAATTCTATTCTCATTTATAGCAAAATTTTTAGTATGCCTGATCCCATAACATGCTAGCTAATGTGGCTCCTCTAATAATAATACTAATTTCTCAGTCCTTGGGAGTGTTTTTAACTGATATGACCCAAAATTCCTACTCCTACATGTCTTGGCCTCAATACCTGGGGAACTGAGACAGTAATAGGGATTACTCTTGGAATGGGTCAGATAACCTCCCTCTGAAAGATAAGATGAAACGGAGCACACAGTTGTGATTGTAGAAATTTTTTTTATGTGCTTGTTAATGCTCCGGGTCTGTCTGTTGTGCCATTTGACGGATGTGCCTGAGCTTGGGAGGACATAGGGAACAAAAGGCATACTGGAGAGTGGGTGGGGTTTGGAGTCAGAGCCCCTTAGACTTGAATACTGTTCTGCCAGATGTGTAGTCCCAGACAAGTCCCCTTACCTCTATGAACCTCAGTTTCTTATATTTAAAATGATGTTAGTGCTAACTTTATAAGAGTGTCATAACGATTAGAGATAATGAATATGAAGTTCCTGATAGTGCCTAGAAAAATAGTGACTGCTCAATAAATATAACTGTTGTTAATAAAACAATATTTACTTTATTAAAACATCATTAATCCCTATTCTATGAAATGTCATTTGACACTGAGGAGTAATCCAACAAACTACGTGAAAATAGTGATAATTTTGTTGCTAACTATACTCAGGAGAAGGAACTCAAGTTTCACAAGTTTTGGTTATTTATGAGGGCAAATGTCTTCCCAAGGAGAGATGCAAAAAGACATTCTTACCAGACCAATGGTGGCTGCTCCAATCCCAATGAGAGGGCTGACAGAAATAATGACCAAGGTCAATTTCCAACCCCTGAAAAATCCCAACAGGAACCCACAGATGGTTGAGGTCATGCGCTGAATGAAAAGGGCCATTTGGTCAGCTATGGCATCATTGATTTTACTAATATCACTAGAAACCAGAAAGATTTTGGTCACTAAAATTGAATTTGATCATTCAAATGTCTTGCTGAAAGTCTCAGTCTTTCCCTTTTAAACATTCCCGTCTCTCTATCCCCATCACCCATGGGTAGCATTAACAGTCTCTGAAATCTTGGAAAATTTGCCACACCTTGGGATGTTATCAAGCCTCTCTCTTCAGAGCCAACCAACTTTATCCCCAGTCTAGGTTTCCCAGCTGGTACTCAGTGTTGATAAAGGCTTTTGAAAACCATCTTACTTGACTTTTTCTTTTACATAGCTCATATTCTTGCTCTATCTTGAATAGCCTTTCTTTCTTCATGCCTGCTGAATCCTTTCAGCCTTGAGGTTCTAGTCACATACCTACATTGATTGTTCATCAGTCTTGTATAATTCCCCAAGAAGAAGTAGCACCTTTCTCCCTGTATATCCGTAACACTGTAATTAATCCTGGTGCATGAGTATGTGTGTGTAATTACTGCATTCTGCTTAGAGGCAGTATAGAGCAGTGATGAAGAGCACAGATTTCGGAGCCAGACTAGGAATTTGAATACAAACTCTTGTTGGCAAAGTTACTTAACCTTTTTATGACTCAATTTTCTTGTCTGTAAAATGAGAACAATAATAGAACTTATCCCAATGGGTAGTAATGAAGATTAAAGTAGTGAATATATGTAAAGCCTATGGAACAGTGCCTACCATGTAATAAACAATTAATATGTATTAGTTCCATTATTTATTTGCTTGCACTTCTTATTTCCCCTACTAGGCTGTAAGTTACTTAAGAGCAGAAGTACAAGGTAATTGCAATATTGATTGAATATAATTATATTAAATTCATCTTCC